TTAATTGGAAAAAAGCAAAACCTCCATTTGAGTACAGAATCTGGTATGGGAATTGAGAAAGACCTTTCTCTTTTGTATGCCTAGGGTATTTATCTTACAGAACAAGATGGGGAGTTAAAAATGATATGAAAAAACAACAAAGTGAATTCTGTGTATACAAATATGTAAATATATGTGAATTATCTCCTATAAACTCAGAAAAAGATTTAAAACTTCTCTATGTGCTTCTAACATAATTACTAAAATTATAATGTGATCTAGAAGTAAGTAATAATGGATGCTAGCTCTTGGATCAGAGTTCTCCCTAAAAAGAGTCAATAAGCCTGGAGTGGTGGGGCATGGCTGTAATCTTAACACTCAACTGAGGCAGGAGGATCCAAGTTCAAGGCCAGCCTGAACTACATAATGAGTTACTATCTCAAAAAACAAAACTAAACAGTGAGTTACATTAGATTTATGTTACAGTTACTACTTGGTTAATTGCTCCCTTTACTCAGGAAATCATTACTTTTAAATAAACTGTACCTGTAACATAGAAAAACTACATACATCTGTGAAGAAAAGTTGCCAGCCTATAGTAGCCACTACTTTTTCATATAAATACAATGCATATTAATAACAGGGACTGAAATACTCAGGTATAGGTTTTCCTACACTTGAACTTTCTCATGTTCACGAAACAAAGACAAATCGCCGTGCAAAACAGTATCAGCAACTCTCAGCCACAGCATCAAAATAGGAAGTTCGCTAGCAGACACTTTGCAGCCAAGCTAGGTCCTACACAAAAAAATCCCTTTTGTGCAAAGAAAAATGTTTTTTTTTTTGTTTTTCAAAAAAGGCTGTAACTGGCAAAAGTTTTTTCCTCAGTGCTTGTCTCAAAGTGTTATAACTTCCTATTCTGGATGCCTACTGCATTAGTCAAAATGAATGCAAACATTCATTAATGCAAATGTGCTTCCAGTTCTGAGTAGTAGATGGATATTCTTTCCAATCTTATTTTCACCTACGTTTCTCAAAACATTTTCTGAAGAAAATCAAAACATTTTTCAGTCTCCATTTTTTCAAGTTTCAAAAGCTGAAACCAAATTTCAGTTTGATTTTGTGTATACTGGAGGGAGCATATTCCCTAGACAATTACATCACTTAAGAGTCAATAGTATTTTCTGCCTCTTCTGTGCCATGCTTTTAACCTCAACTTCAAAGTGACATCTCTTAAAAAAAAATCTCTAGCAGGGCGCGGTAGCACGTGCCAGTAATCTCAATGTTCCTGGTGTAATTCCAGCACTTGGTAGGCCACATAGTGAGTTCACAGCTAGGCTCAACTACATAGTGAGAACCTGTCTCAAAAAACCCCAAAAAACCTCTAAATGCTACAATACAGCTGGTTTTCTTGATCAGTATCTGTATCACAGGTATAGCACTTATGATCATGGACTCTGAAATCCTTGGTCTGTCACTTGTCGTGTGACCTTGAGCAAATCATTTCACCATTTTAAATTATAATTTCCCAACTGGTGAAAGAGCTAGTACCTTCCCTTGCACAGAATTGCCTTTAAGGATTCAATGAGATGATTTATAAGTACTAAGCATAGAACAAGCTCAATAAAATTTAGCCACATATCACATGTCTGCCAATATCTTTAATAAAGTACAGTAAAACATCATTAAAATTTACTCTCTGACTTTGAAGCTCTCTCAGGGACATGGCTGAAATTAAACTCTGCTTGGGGGGCTGGGGATTTAGCTCAGTGGCACAGTGCCTGCCTGGCAAGCGCAAGGTCGTGAGTTCGATTCCTGGTACCAGAAAAACAAACAAACCAAACAAACAAACAAACAAAAAACCTCTGCTTGGTAAAGGGAATCCACAAGCAAAAGACTCAAGGACTTCCTTGGGAGTACAACTTTGCAAAGAAGGATCATTCCAGTGACATTCTAATCACAACTATATTCATATTAAAAGCTTAGTTTCATTTATTTAGCTGTATGCATCACAGTAGTACATTTTAATAAATTTCACATAATTTACTGTTGAAAATTTTGACTCCCTCTTACTCAGTCCAAATGAGTACATGCATCTCTTTGTTGTTTTTGAGAAAGGGTCTCCCTTTGCCATTCAGACTGGTGGTGAGGGGCTGGGGATTTAGCTCAGCGGCACAGCGCCTGCCTGGCAAGCGCAACGTGGTGAGTTTGATTCCCGGTACCGGAAAAACAAACAAACAAACAAACAGACTGGTGGTGAACTTGAAGTGATCCTCCCACCTCAGCCTTCTAAGAACTGGGATTACAGGTGTGTGCCACCATGTCCAGTTCCATGCATCCCTTTGTTGTATCTGCATCTCTCCAAAACCCAATAATGAAAAATACGTATTTCAGAATTCAAAATTAAAGTTATAGCCAGTTGTTGTGGTGCATGGCTGTAATCACAGTATTCTGGGAGGCTGAGGCAGGAAGACTGAAAGTTCAGTCCTGCCTGGGCAATTTAGCAACTGAGACCCTGTCTCAAAAAAGAGAGATGGGTGCTAACATGCAGCTCAGTGTGAGTTTAATGCCCAGCACCACACCGAAAAAAGTGATTTTCTGTGAGGGACATGGGAGAGATGAGTTGGACTGGTGCCAGTTACAGACTCAAGGTTTGTGTTGATGGTACAGTCAGTCTGAAAGGTCTTCAAGGGACTGGACTGCTCCCAATACCTCACATCCTCCCTGGGGTTTTAATACAGTTAACCAATTACACTAACAACTTCCTCCTCCCTTATTTTTATTTTAACTTTTTGAGACAGTGTCTTGCTCTGTAATTCAAGGTGGCCTTGAATTCATTATGTAGTCCAGGCTGGCCTTGAACTGGCAGGGATGCTCCTGCCTTAGCCTCCCTAGTGCTCAGATTACAAGTGTGTGCCACCACGCCCGGCTTCTTATTTTTATTAAGGTAGTATAGAAGCTACTAGTCTCAGCTACCCTACATAACTCCTAATCACCAGTCAAGTTGTTCCCTCAACAACAGGCTGACTTTTCTACTCTAATAATGAAGTAGAGTCTGGTTGGGCTCATTTTCTGTCACATGTTCATTTGCAAGAGAGAACAAAATTTACTAGGGACATTTTCAGGGATATAGCCTTTTTTGAGGGGAGGCAGAACTGGGGATTGAACCAAGGGCCTTCATATGGAGCTACAGCCCCAATGCTGTTTTGTTGTTTTTTTTTGTTTTTTTTTTTTAAGTTTTTATAGACAGAATCTTGTTAAGTCACCAAGATGCCCAGGTTGGACTGAAATTTGTGATCCTCCTGCCTTAGCTTCACAAAGTGTTGGGATTATAGGTATGCATCACCATTGCTCAATTTGATATAGCATTTTTAACTGTCTCTTTACAATAACACTGTCCTGAATGTCCAGTAGTCAAAATAATTTTTTTCTTTAATTTTTTTTTTGAGACAGTCTCACTATATAGCCCATGCTGGCCTTGAACTTGGTGCAATCCTCCTGCCTCGGACTCCCAAGTGCTGGGATTACAGGTATGTGCTACCATGCCTTGCTTCAAAATAATTTTTGTAAACAAAAAGAATAAGTAGATGCTCTTTTACTAATACTAACATGAACTATGAAACCGAAGGCTACTTCAGCAGTTTTTGATCAGTGTATGTGTAATTTCTGCTAACAAGGATTAAAATTTTTAACATTTATTGTCTATGGGTTACACTGTTCATTATTTAGGACATCAACTACTCCTGTACTGTATAAAAAAACAGTGACTTGATGTATTTCTACATATCTAATTATGATAAAATAGTTATTTGTTCTATTTATACTACGATTTTTTTCTGCCAGAGTAGAATAAGTGTAATACCTATTTGCCTAAAGTTCTAAATTACTCATGAGTGAAAGAAAAAAATCTTCAAAAACATAAATTCCAATAGGTTCCAAATGTCAAGAACAATGGAACTACATTTTATTTGTTACTTTGTAACAGTTCACAAAGTCTCTATTTTTAAATGTATACATGTTAATTTCAAAAGTCATGATTTGACCCCCCCCCCCAGGTATCCAAATTCACACATTAGGGACATTATGAAGGACGAAGTAATAAACTGTCTATTATGCTTCCTAAGAAGCAGATTAAATCGGACAAAAATTTCACTATGTTTATCCTATTAAGCGGTTTTTGTGTAAGGTCGGAGTCTTTCTAACAAATCAGCATCCAATCTTTACAGTGACAGCATTTCAGCTGAGACAATGAACTGTTTACACGGGACTTCTAATCTATCTGGTGATTTTAATTACCTTTTTTAAAAAAATAAAGTTTTCTACTGACCTGTATGTACAGTCTAGCACAACAGCACAAATAAAGCATACAGAGCTCATTTTGATTCTTGGCAGTGGCTACCCTTACAAACTTGGGGGTTCTTCCTCAGTGAAGGAAGAACCTTCACTTGACCAAAAAAGAAAAGAAAAAAGCCACACCTTCATCTCTAGGACAAGAAGTCTTAACTGCCAAAAGTCGATTTATCTGTTCAATGTTTTAGGTAACTTGGAGCTCCTCTAGCTCTTGGAACAAATCTGACATTACAATATGTGCTCTAGCTGGGAAGGTATTTTTATAGGTCAGTGGAAGCACACTTTTATATTGTTTTTCCAAAGCCATTACCTCTCTAAACCAGTTATGTAAGTGCATAGAAATTAAATGCATTCTGGGGTTGGAGTGTTTCCTGAGCCACAATTCTATATGCTCCATTCTCTAGGCAAGTTTTTTAGTTTTAAAGAAATGTCCAAAATTGTATTTAACCCTTACGCTATGTTAAATGTTCCGCCCAGCCTCATTCTATTTTATTAACCTTTATAGGAACCCAGCAGCAGCTGCTGAACAGAAAGGACTGGCTTGTAATTAGTTTTTATTTTAAGGGATGTAGGGGCATATACTCTAGAAGAATTGTGCCTCATATCCCCAGTTACAGCCTCTTTCTCAACATTTTTCTTTTATTAATGCATAAAAAAAGTTACAAACTTGCCTTGTGAGGTCGAAAATATAGATACAGGCTGAGAGGAAGAGGAAGAAACAAAGGAATCTGAAAGAAAATAACAGCATGAGAATTTCACAACCTCTTGCAGGAATTCTAATTTCAACTTTTTTTCCAGGACAGGAGGAGGCAGCAAGCATCATAATTTCTTTGGATTTAGCGAAGAGGAAAGCCGAAATCCTTATTTCTGGTTAATGTTTTCACTCACCTGTCTGTGAAACCTCATTTCCAAGATGGCTTAAAAGTTAACCAATTCAACCTTTATTAGATAAACATTGTCAAGGAGCCCCTAGCATTTCAGAACAACCACAACAGACAACACTCTTCTGATTTTTTCATAGGAAAGGGAAAGTAGGTATCTGACTGCTAATTTATTTTTTAATAACATCCAATTGTGCTTTGAGGCATTACCCACTAATATGAGCATTTAAAAATATCTAACTGGCAAATATGCAATGTTCGAGACTTAAAAAAAAAATCTCACAAACCATTGGGAAAACAGGACTACAAGAGAAATCTTCCCTCCTCTAAAATTATATTCCTTTAATTTTAAACATATATTAAAATTCAAAATGCTCATATCCAGGCTGGAGATGTAGCTCAGCAATACAGCACTTGCAGCTTTGGTTCCCAGTGCTGCGAAAATAAAAACACTGACCTTTTACAGGAAATAAAAATATGAAGTCCACGCTAAATAAATAAATAAAACATATATGAGAATATTCATAAGAGCACTGGTTATAAATACTAGAAATAATCTAAATGGTCACAAATACAAAACTAGTTTAAAAGTCACATCTAAACAGTGAAATAAACCAGGTGCGGTGACACACGTCTGTAATCCCAGCACTGGAGGCTGAGGCCAGAGAACTGCCGAGTTCAAAGCCAGCTTGGGCTACATAGTGAGTTCAAGGCCAGTCTGTACTACAAAGTGAGACCCGGTCTCAAAGATAAAAATAGTGCAATATTTTCTGCCATGAAAAAGAATTAGGTGCAAAGCTGAGCATGATGGTACACACCTACAGTCCCAGCAAGCTAAGGTAGGAGAATGGCTTGAGTTTATGAGTTTAAGACCAGTCTGGGCAACATATAAGAAAGAGCTTGTCTCAAGGAAAGAATGACAGTTGGGTATAATGGCACAGGGTTGTAATGCCAGCACTCTGGGAGGGTGAGGCAAGAAGACTATGAGTTCGAGACCAGCCTGGGAAATTTAGGGAGACCCTATCTCAAAGTAAAAAAGGGGCTGGGTATGCAGCTCAGTGCAAAGGGTCTGTATATAAAAATTTAAAAACAACATGCAAGCTAGGCGTGGTGGTGCACACCTATAATCCCAGCACTCAGGAGGCACAGGCAGGAGGATCATTGCAAATTTGAGACCAGCCTGGACTACAAAGTGAGCTCAAGGACAGCCTAAACTGCATAGTGAGACCCTGTTTCAGAAAAACAAAAAAAAAAAAAAAAAAAACCAAAAACCAAAAACACCCAAAACATGACTTTTCCAAACTGGCATGGTGACACATCCCTGTAATTCTAGCTACTCTGCAGGTTGAGGCAGGACAATCTTATTTTAAAAGACTGGATCACAGGTACCTCTGTAAGAACTAACTTAGGGATACAGCACTATTTAGCAACAAATTTAGAGCACAAATGCAGAATTCAATGGCTTTGGGCCATTAATTAATTAATTTTTTTTTTTGGTACCGGAAATCGAACCCAGGACCTTGTGCTTGCCAGGCAGCCACTTGTGCCACTGAGCTATATCCTTAACCCCTAAGATTGGAATTTAAAAATTCACTGCTTTTAAATTATCTTAAAATGAATCACCTAACATTTACTCGTTTTTTTGTTTGTTTTGAGACAGGGTCTCGCTATATAGTTCAGGGTAGCCTTGAACTAACTATGTACCCCACCCCAGGTTGGCCTCCAACTCACTGTGATCCTCCTGCTTCAGCCTCCCATGTGCTAGGAGGATTGCAGGTATGTTCCACCACATCCCGTAAAATGTCAATTTTATGCATAGTATTCATTCTGATAAAGAACACAGATAACCAATAGTTTGCAAAAACACTACACAAGATTTGTAGTTCATAAAACCACAATTTACTTATTTACTTTTTTATTTTTTTGAGACAGTGACTTGCTCATGTAGTTCAGGCCAGACTTAAACTCACTCTGTAGCCCAGGACGCTCAAAATTGCTGCCATCCTCCTGCCTCCTGAGTGCTGGGATCACAGGTGTGAGCCACCACGCTGTATTTATACTCCATATTTAAACTATAGGAAAGTGAACTCCAGAACAGTGATCTTAATCCTTAAATATGAATCATGAAATCCTTTTTCTGTCAGTAGCAAGGTACGGGGATAAAGCGAAGGACTAAAAACTAAGCAGCAGCTACAGGGAGAGGGAGAGTTGAAGGAAAGTGTTTTAAGAATGTAAGTGACAGCATATTTATAGAAAGGAAAGCGTCAGTAGAAGGAAAAAGTCTTAACATACATAAGAAGAAGCTATTTGCTGGAACAAAGTTCAAGAAGTGACTGAAGATGGGGATTTTTAAAAAAGCATGAGCTGGGGCTGGATATGTAGTTCAGTGGTAGAGTTCTTACCTTATATCCATAAGGCCCTGGGTTCGATCCCCAGCAACACACACACAGACACAGACACACACACAAAGTATCAATGAACCTGCTAAAAATCTAGTTCCCGCCACTAGGCGTGGTGGCGCACACCTGTAATCACAGCATTCAGAAGGCTGAGGCAGGAGGATCACTTCAGGTTCAGGGTCAGCCTAGGCTACACAGTGAGTTCAAGGCCACCTTTCTGAACTATATATTGAGACCCTATCGCAAACAGACAAACACCCCCCAAAATAATAAAAGTCTAGTTCCAGTAAATAACCAGTCATCTCTGCAAATACACGGTTATAAATTATTCAACACATCTGTAATCCCAGCAGGAGGCTGAGGCAGAAGCATCTAAAGTTTGAGCCCAGCCTGGGGCAACTTAATGAGACCCTGTCAAGAAAGAAAAGAAAAAAGAACTGAAAAGAAAAAAGACAAAGAAAGAAAAAAAGAAAGAAAGGTTAGTTGGGAATATAACAGTGCAAAACCCCTGGGTTTAATCTCCAGTATCGGGGGAGGGAATCAACAAATGAAATTGCATCAAATTAAAAAGCTTCTGCATACCACAGGAAATAATGGAGACAGGTCACAGAATAGGAGAAAACCTCTGCCAGTTACTATTCTGACAGAGGATTAATACCCAGAATATATAAAGAAAAAATAAACAAACCAATCAATAAATGGGCAAATGAATGGAATAGACACTTCTCTAAATTAGTACACATGATCTATTATTATATGAAAAAATGTTCAATATATTTAGCTATCAGCAAAACACAAATCAAAACTACACTGAGATCCCATCTCACTCCAGTCAGAATGGGTAACATCCAGAATATGAAAAAAAAGTTGGCAACGAAGCAGAGGAAAAAGGAACCCTTGTGCACTGTTGGTAGGAATGTAAATTAGTACTGCCACTACGAAAATCATATGGCAACTCCTTGGAAAACTAAGAGTAGCGCTACCACATGACCCAGCTACACTACTCCTCAGTATATTCCCAAAGAAATTGAAGTATACTATCCAGACACCTCCACAGTCATGTTTATCGTGGCACAATTCACAACCACTAAGTTATGGAAGCAGTCTAGGTACCCCTCAACAGATGAATGGATATGAAAAGGTGTTATATATACACTATGGTATATTACTCAACCAAAATCATATCATTTGCAGGAAAATGGAAGGAACTGGAGATCATCATGTTAAGTGAAATAAGCCAGAATCAGAAAGATGACAGGTATCACATTTTCTCTCATATGCGGCATCTAAGAGGGAAAACAAAGAAAGAAGAGATGAAAGGAAGAAGGGAGATTATTAGAGAAGTGGAAGGGTATTGGGGAGAATAGGGTAGAGGTAAGAGAGGGTAATAAGGGGTGAATATTCAAATCCATTACTCTGTGTAACCAATAAGCACTAAGAAAAATTAGAGCCACAAAAAATAAAAAATTGCCGGCCGTGGTGGCGCACGCCTGTAATCCCAGTACATGGGAGGCTGAGGCAGGAGAATTGTTGCAAGTTTGAGACCAGCCTGGGCTACAAAGTGAGCTCAAGGCCAGCCTGAACTGCACAGCGACCCTGTCTCAAAAAGACCAATAAACAAACAAACGAATAAATAAATAATAAATAGTTAGGGGCTGGGGATTTAGCTCAGCAGCATAGTGCCTGCCTGGCAAGCGCAAGGTTGTGAGTTTGATTCCTGGTACTGGAGAAACACCCCCCAAGAAATCAATAAATAATTATAAAAATTCACCTCTTAAAAAATAAGGCTTTCATAAAGAGCAAAAAAAGAGACAGATAATAGAAAACAGGGAGACAGATCTTTTGTGACTAGGAAGGGGCCAAAAGGAGGAGGAAAAGGGAAGTAAAAGATGTACATATACCAATTCCCCATGATGAAAGTAATCATGTACTGCAAATATGTATTAAAAATAAGTAAAAATAGGGCTTTAATTTACTGAGTGCTGAACGTCTGTGACAGACACTGAGGTAAGTACTTTGTGCATAAAAATCAAATTATGGGGGCTGGGGATTTAGCTCAGTGGCACAGCACCTGCCTGGCAAGTGCAAGGTCATGAGTTCGATTCCTGGAACAGGAAAAAAAAAATCAAATTATGTGAAAATCCTAATGAACACGCAGGTATGAACAATGATCTCCAAATTTTACACCTAAGAAAACTGAAGCTTATGAGTGTCAGAATCAAGATTTAAACCTAAGCTTTTCCTGAAAGCTTGTCCCTTTCCTTCTCTATCACCCTGTCACATCACCTGTCATTACTGCCAGTCTGAGATGCATGTGCTATCTACCTGACAATTTACCAGTCACATTTATATTTTTAAGCTCCACTGTAAGCCCCTTTGACTGTCCACCCTCCTCTCAAGCAGCATGTCGAGTGAGCAGTGAATAAGGCGGCAGCTGCTACAGTGTTC